CCTCAATCTACTGAGAAGAATCATTAAAATTACAACATTGTTTGTATGACTTTGCTTAATTGCTGTTGTTAACACAAACATTTTGGCTAAGCCAGTCACTGACTTACCATGTACTTATATTCAGTGTAAAAAAGAAAGGCTATAGGAAAATAGTAACATTTCTGCCAGGAAAAGTAAAGGATATATTAAAATAGTAATAGTAAATTTTCCTCCAAGAAAAAAATCAAAGGTGGGCAACAAGAAATGGTGATAAAATCACTAGAAAGTATTAACAACAGGAAGTAAACAAAAGAGAGAACAATTTTGTCAATATACTTCTTTAATTTATAATTTTTATTTGAAAACTATTGCTTCAGGTAACAATTTTCAGGTACTACTTCTCAAACAGATAAAGTAATTATGGGAGAATGGTTTGCCCAAGGCCTGACTCATCTGCTCTATTCAGCTCTAAAGTTTCTAGCCTGACAGTAAAAAGAAATTTTGTTAAGATATCTGGTCAGCAACAAAGCACAGGGAAAATTGTATTCATGCCTTTCTTAAATATATCAGTAATAATATTAACAACAGATTGAAAATATTTGAGGACTGTAAAAATTTTGGGGGAATAATAATTATTTTACTGTTACAGGTCCTACTATTTAACTCATATCTGGGGGAGAAGAGGTGGATTCATAACTTTCCTAATGGTATTTGCTCATAAGTGAATATAATCAATCTAACTGGAATTTGAACTTGGTTCTCTGATTTCCAATTTTGAGCCATTATCCATTATACCACCCACACATCCATGCTCACAGCACTTGGTATTCCCAAGTGATCAGCCATCTAGTTACTGACTAAGAACAATGTTGCTTAACTTTAGTGATCAGCTTGAAAGTACGTGTGAGCAAAAGTGTCCAGCAATTTCTTACTAAAAAGTTTACTTCTCTGTATTTCGTATCTACTTCTCAAAAAAGAAAACTGTAGTAAATTTGTAACACATCTGTTATAACTGCACATGCTTTAATTAAATTCCATCCTGGGTATGATGATAAACTACATCCAGCAGCAAGGCCTCTGACAAGGAGGTTTTGAGAAGCATGCAATCACCTCTTAATTGTTGTTGTCCCCAGGTCCATCCTGACTGAGGGTGGTAGCACATGTTAGGGTCCGAGCTATAAAGCAAATAGTGAAACCCCACGCTGGGAGCAAAACACAATGAAAGTATAAAAAAAGATTTTTATAGCAAAAATAACAGCAATATGTTTTTGAAAAAAAATAAAATAATTACCAGTGATGAATTTTTGAAAAGAAAAAATATATTAGTAGAAATACATTTTTTGAAAAGAGAAAATATTACCAGCAATAGATTTGACTTGACAAAAACCTTCTTTACAAAAATACGCCAATGAAACCTGACCTGAAAACTGATTTCTTACAAAGAATATATATCCTATTCATGAAAATCTATCTTAAGAATCTTGTCAGCATTAAATAACCCATTGAGGTTGATATGCTGTTAAACAAAATAAAACAAACCAAACCATAATCAAATAAAATCATTCTTTTATGAGCTTTGTACCCAAGATTTCTCTTCGCCCATACCGTAAGGTCCTATTATTTCTTATTTTTAAGTGCCCCCCACCCACCATCCAAAATTCCTAAGATGTTTTTCAACAGTTGAAGAGCCATCAAATTTCTTGCTCATTTTCTGATCATATCACATCAAATCATTGTTATAGTGTCAGTAAGAAAAATAAGAAAACATAATAAAAGATGTTTTTGGAATCAAACACCAGGCAGTGAAGTTGAAGAACAATGATGCTTAATTAACGGATCACATGTCTTCAAGGGATTAGGAATAATATTAATGGATTACAACTAAAGAATTATTTGAATGTAAAGCACAGGTACTCTAAAGATGGATTATGACTCTATGAAGTATGTGAATAATAACGAAATTAAGATAAAAGAAAAAGAATTACATTACAAGAATTTATACAAAGTCAATGAACTTAAAGAATATATAAGGTACAGTTAACTTAGGTTTCTCAATTATTGAAGTTGAATTATTGTAAAAATTATAAATTGTTTTTGATGTGAAGGAAAGATAATTTTATGAAACCAGAGAAAAAGATGAGAATGATACAAAGCGTTTCTATTATAATGGATGGCAATGCAAAGGCTACACTAAAAAGATATTAATTTGATTGGTCTATTTTCCTTTACGGCAGCGAATGTTGGACCAAAGAGACTCGAGGTAATGGAGGTCTGGTTCTACAGAAGGATGCTAAGGATATCATGAACCAAGTGTGTGAGCAACAATGAAGTTTTGGAAAGGTTGCAAACATGGAGGAAGCTTATATTTGACATCAAGAAGAGGCAGCTGAAATTTCTGGGACAAGTCATGAGAAAGGAGGGCTTGGAGAATCTGATACTCAAAGGTCAAATAGAGGGAAAAAGAGTCAAGGGAAAGCAATGCGTGACATACCTGGCAGGCTTAAGCAAGTGGATGAAAGAACATGGCCTGGGGGAAGTAGCAAAGGGACAGAACTTATTGAGAGCTACAATGGATAGGGAAAAGTAGAGAGCCATGATCACCTAGGTCTTGAAGGTACATGACACATAAAAGAAAGAACAAGAAATTGTTGACCTAGAATTAAAACTTAGTACTGAGTTCTGATCACAAGAGAGATCACTTTTACAACATGACTAAGGATTTTATTATAATGTATTAAATATTTTTTAAATATAATCATATTCTTTCACACTCAGTAACTGTTTGCATCTCAATGACTTTATTGCCTTACTTGGAGAGAAATGATTAAAAAATTTGATAAGTGGCCAAAATGCTAACTTAAGATGTCTTAATTTGAAAACTTGTGAATTTATGTAAAAATTGTTTAATTTATGTGAGAGATAGAACTTTTTTCTGATAACCTTTGTTCAATATTAGTTGTTAAATTTAATGCATGAAACGTGTACACAAGTCTATCAAGTATTTTTGTGAAATATGTATGCAAATATAGCAAGTACTTTTTATGACATGTGTACACAATTATATCAAGTATTTTGATTTTTTTTCTTTTGTATTCAGAATTTGTATAGTTGGTTTAATATATATTAATGGCCAATTCTTTTATTAAAGGCAAAAGAAAAGAAGTTTCAAAGAGGCTTAATCTATAATTAGATAATTTTTTTGAATTTAAAAAAGTAATATTTAATTTATAGATAAGAATATACATAATATTTTAATAAAATAAATGTTGGCCATAGAAAATATCATGAATTATTTCATTAAGATATATTAAATAATTGTTTTAAATGAAAATATTGTGACAATGCAATCATCTTAGGAAAGCAATTTTATTAAGACATTAAGTGGCTGGGGGGTTAAAAGCTGTATATGGTGAAAGTAGAGAAGGAAAGAGAGAGGGTAATGTTAAATTGAATATAATATATAATTTTGGAAATAAGTAAAGATTAAAAATTGGCTTAGAAAATAAGAATAAATTTAAAAATTCCTAATTGGAATTCTGAGGATTTAGAATCCTAAGTAAAGGAGTCAGAAAGAGTGATATCGGAATTCATATGTGAGTGAATCATATCATATGGTACTTGACTGAAATTATGATAGAGGAATTTTAGCTTATTTTCATTATCTAAATCAGATTGAAGAATAGTAATTCTTCAATCTGCTCATCTTCATAGGTAACTTTGGAAACAGAATAAGGAATTTATCTGGCTATGGATATTTGTCATCACCTCTGATCATGTAGGGCACACCAGGATGTTCTCCATAAATACAAGTTGCTGGAATGTGCAATGAGTCAGTTAATTTTGGTTTGGTTTGTTTTGTTTTGTTTCATTGCATATCAACCTCAATAGGTTATTTAATGCTGACAAAATTTTTTATTGGTAATATTTTTTTCCAAAAATGTATTGCTGGTAATATTTTTTTCAAAAAATGTATAGCTGGTAATATTTTTTTTTCAAAAAATGTATAGTTAGTAATATTCTTTTATTTTCAAAAATGTATTGCAGATAATATTTTTTTTTCAAAAATTTATTGCTAGCAATAATTTACAAAGTATTTCTGGTATTAAAACCTATTTTTACACTTTCATAGTGTGCTGACCCCAGCTTGAGGGTTAACTATTTACCCATAGCTGGGACCCTAACAGGTGCTACCACCCCTGGTGAGGGTTGACCTGGGAACACCAGCAATTAAAAGGTAGTTCCATGCTCCTCAAAACTTGATCAGAGGCTTTGCTGTTGGATGTAGTTTATCATCTTACCCAAGACACAGATGTAGTTTATCATCATACCCAGGGCAGGTGTATCTAGTTACTCGCTGTTGGATCTGTGGGTATTTCTTTAATACCCACAGATACAACCTGTGGTTTTTACTGCAGCTATGCTGAATAGAACTAACAGCATCAGAGAAAGAGCGCATATTTTGGTGTGATCAATACTGGAACAAGATCAGTATCCTCAAACCCTCAGTTATAATGACTTGTGACTTCATGCTAACATAGTCATCAATGGCTTTTAAGCAGTTTCATTTACTTAATTTCACTCACAAAGCTTGGGTCAGTTTGTGGAAGGATTTTTATGCACATCCCAAATGTACTGCACACAGACATCACCTATCTGGATCAAGAAGTTATTACCTTGACAAATTGGCCATAGTGAACCTGGGTTTCATGTTTGGAATGTTAATGTTCTAACCCCTTGACAACATACGCAAAAGTCAAGATGCATGTATGCGTTATATACAGATGAGTTTTTTGGAATTCCATAATAGGGTAGTTTGCAAGGTGGTCACAAAATTCTAGTTACTAAATTAAGTTTGATCCTCACAGGGTGTCCCATACTTATGGCAAAATTAAAAAAATGCTTAAATGAGTTAATAACTATATAAATAGAAAGTAAATTACTGAAAGAATCAAAGGAAAATAAAATTACAAAAATATGCAAGTCCAAAGAGATTTTAAAATTTCTTATAGAAGTAGTCTTACCTCAATTTGAACCATATTGAGGCGAGCCTTTCTCATTCTGTTGACACAGCCAAATACATCCACGGTGCCTGTGTGGCGCGCCTCCTCCATCAAATAATCAAGGGCAATAAATGTGCCACTACGGCCAATTCCAGCACTGCAAAAAAAAGGAAAGAAAAACATGAGAATAATTTCATTCTGAAGAAGGATTTACTGAAATTCCACACGGCATGTTGATAATTTAAGAAGAGAATACAAAATAAAACTTTTTTACTAGATTGGCAACTAAGTCTCACTATTAAACTGTTCAAATAGCTAGATGTAATAATTTCTAATCTAATAGTTTTTTCTCTTATATTTGTGGAACTTTCTCCTAGTTTCTTGCTTCCCTGCCATTGACAATCTTCAACAATTTAAATGCAACTGAAATGTTGAAATTTAACTGAAATCTTTTAAATACAATATTATGGCTTCAGCTAAATATATTTTGAATGCAATTATATGCCTTCAACTACAGATAAAATGTATTGTTGGTCATTTTACTATAAAATATATTAGTGGTAATTCTACTGTAAAATGTATTGCTTGTTATTTTGCTTTAAAATTTTATTGTAGGTAATTTTACTATAAATACTTATTGTTGGTATTTTTCATATAAATATGTCTTGCTGGTAATTTTATACATTCATAGTGTTTTATTTCTGTTTGGGGATTCTGCATTTGCACATGACTGGGACCTTAACAGTCAAGAACTGTACGAAACAACAGAAATCACATCACTCAAGGACTACCAAGAGAAGTAACAACTAAAATGGATAGCACATGTAACTTGAAGAGAAAATACTGACATAATCAAGATGTTGACATTCCACATTACTTTAAATAAAAGGTTAAGAAGGAAACCACCATCAATATATCAGCTACTGGGCTTGAGAAACTGATTGTCCTGAAAAATTTTTTAAGAGAAAGATTTTATAAATTTCAAAGTCCATCGACACTGACTGCTTGGTCAATGAATGCCAAATATTTCTTTATAAAGAAGGATAATATTACACTTACCATTGCTGTTGTAGTATTCAACCCTGAATAAATCTTGCCTTGGACTTAATTTTATATTATATAATATGACTTTTGACTGTTTCTTGAATGTTTTTTATTCAAATCAAGGCCATTTCTTGTACTGTTCTTGGTTCATAATCTTTTGAGTAATCAGTTTGATAAGTTAAAATCTAATCCATATTAAACAACTGGTGCTGCTGAAACACATTCAAGAAAATGTCACATTTTACCTGGCTTCCTTTCACCATTTTTCTCACTAAATGTTTTAAATGTCTGTAAAAGAGAAATACTGCCAAAAGAGAAATTTTGTCATTCCATTCAGATCCTAAGTTTGTTGAAAGTTCTTACCAATGTCATCAGCTCCGTCTCTCCCCTTTAAATTCTTAGAACTTCCAAATATACAAACAATTTCAGCTTGTATCAAACTCAGCATTTCAATTACTCTTTTCATTTTAGGGTTTCTTATCTCTCGGTTTCATGTCAAACAGATTACCGGATATTTGCTCTGGCTTTTTTTTTCAGAATGTAATGGCCTTGAATCGAGAAATAATGACATGTACCCTATTTTAAAAGTTGTCTTAAAAATAACTTGATGTTTCAATGTTGCCCATTGGCTTTGGTAGTGTATGACACATACAAAGCATTGCTGCAAATAGCCTGTCAGAATATTGCATCCATATTGATAAGAGCTAAATCTAAATCAGTACGCATTTGTTTTACTCATTGGTTTCTGTTGAGGCAGAAATTGTACAACTGTAATTGCTTTGAAACAAGAATGGAAGTTAAGCCAAAATTAGAAATGCATTGAAAAGTCAAGCTCATCACAAAACCTGAGCAGCACTAACTGGCATTTCTTTATCAAAATTGAATAATTCAAAGACCATCTCATTTTGATGGATCTTTTTTCAGTCTACTGAACATGTTACATAAGATAAAAGTAAAAAGATATAAACAAATACAAATTTATGATAGACTGACCCAGCACATATTCTAATACACGTTAAACAAAAATATCCAAACTTAATTTTTTTTTTAAGCATTTTACCACAAGCAAGGCAGGAGTGCCACTGGTGCACAAGGGGTTACAGAGATTGAAAGCAAGAGTAAAGAGGTGTGTTTGAGGAAAGGTTAAAGAGAAGGGCAGCGAACAAGATCACGGCATCAGAAGATATCAATTGACATTACACTTGAATATTTGAAGATTATAGTTATTAGAGAAGCAAGTAAGAGAAAGGGAGTTCCACAGATGGCTACACTTAACTGTTTTGACAGTGAAAAGGTGGGACTGAGGTGTCAACCTCATAGCAGTAATAAATAAGAACAAGATGAGATATTCCATGCCCACAGGTCTAAAACAATCTACCCCTGTAAATTAATAAAGGTTCAAGTTTGAAATTTACTGTAAGTTATCTGTATCAATATAAACCCAATGAAGGTTGGAGGGCACAACAGCCAAAGTATTGTGATAACAGCAATAAAGATGAGGACAATAGTTTGCATGTAAATAATGTACATAATGATAACTCCTCATCCCAGAAATTCAGACTGAAATTATTTGTTCTCTTCAGCTATTTTTTGTACTCTACTTAGATGTCATTCCAACCAAAGTGTTATCATTAAAGTTGCTTAAGGTTTCCTATCAGTGTTCAGAAACTAGATTACTATATTTGAGAGTATATAAAACTCTAAACACTTCCATTCAGTATTATGGAGTTAGTTTCATAGTCTATGGTGTTTGGGTAAACCCAATGGATATATTTGAATCATTTTAAGGATAGAAAAGCATGTCTTATGTGAAATCAAATTAGATAAATTCTCCTTTTTTAATTTTGCTTTCATTTTTAGCCATTAATTAAACTGAATTATCTCCCTTGGTTTAACTACGAAGAATTTTTTTTTCCCCCACCCCACATGAGAGCTCTTGAAATTATTTGCCCATTTAAATCCTTTACATTTTTTATGCATCTGGTGACTAGGATTGTATAAATGTATTATGAAGACATGTTTTGAATGATCTTGAGTTTTTCTTTTATTCTTTTTTACAATATGGTTCACCCTGTACAAGATTCGGGGGCCACTCATAGTAGATGGTTACATTAGGAGACAGTTTATGCAGACAACAGGAGAAAATAACAGTTAACCCTAAACTTGAATAGATTAAGATTGAATTGAACATCCTCTTGGGAGTTGGTTCCACAGAGCAGTGATTTGTTGGAAAAAGCTGTTTGAGTGGAACTTACTTCTTACCAATAGAATGTGGGTGGTTTGCTACAATGTGAGTGGCATGGCAGTTCCTTCCCATGAAGATTAGAACTGGAATATGGTTCATCTGAGGACTTTCCATAAAATTAGAGAGAGCAGCAAGAGGCTTGCCACATCCCACCTGTGTTAGAGAGGTTGGAGGGTTGAAAATAATTTGTCATCCACAAAGACTTGGAGATATTTTTTAACTCTATCGAGACTGGAGAGAATGGTCTGGGCAGTGGAGTCAAGTACTTACTGGAGCATTACAGGGAACTGACCATTTTACCTGCATCTTTAACAATAGCTCATATAAGGTCAGGTGTGAGTTTAAGGCCCAATAGTCTCACAAGACAAAATAACAATGCATGCTTTTACAAATGACCTCAATCAAAATCTAAAGTAAAAAAAAAAAAAACAATTCCACATAAAAACATCCAATTTACTCAGAGAACTTCAAAATAACTGAGCATTTTTGCAAAACAAGGCTATTTTTTTAATCTTCTGACTGATTCTAACAGAAAACCAAATACCAATTGGGAAGCAAAGGAACAGCTTCATTTGTGATTAATTTAGAGCCCACATATAGTCTGATGCTCCTGCTATCTATCTTGAGATCCTTGATAAAATCCAAAGAAGAATAAGCAATATTATTGGCCCCAATCTGGCATCTTGATTTCAGTCACTTTCCCACTGATCATAAGGTTACCTCCTTTTGCCTTTTCTATAAATACTTTTATGGTAATTGTTCAAATGAGCTCTTTGCTATGGTACCAAGACTTTATGAATTTAAGCACAGTATGAGACTAGTGACAAGGTCTCACCAATTTACAGTTGATTTGGCTCGATATAACCATAAATTTCTTTTCTTGCACTTCTTATTCCAGTTCCATGTTTTCCAGCCAACTTTAATCTGCACAAATTTGAATGCGATGTCAATTGCTATTTGCTGTCCTCCTGATTACACTTTCTCTATTCTCACTCCTTAGCAATGTTCCTGTTTCTAACTCTTCCACATCCAGTAACCCTTTGCATCTCTGTGGCTTTTACTGACTTGCTTGGAGTGAAATCAATTAAAAAGCGAAAAAAAAAGGTAGCGTAAAATAGTTGATCAGTTCATAATTTCCATATGTATATATGTTGACATTTTTAGCGCTATCCCCAAATTTCTTTTTCTTTAGTTTTCCTGCAAAATGACAGTCATTATTTCATGACTTGATAAAGGAGAAGGAAAAATATGGATTGAGGGTGACTTTCCTTATGCATTTAACATTAAAAAAAGTACAATAAATCTGTTTTGAAATGTCTTGTTTGAATTATTAAAGAGTAAAAAGAAAATGAATAATATTTTGAAGAAGTTTTTATTATTTGAGTTTCACTTTATTGTCTGTTCTGAAAAGGCAGACAGTTGTCTATTTAATATTCAATGGGAGATTTGAACACAATATTCATGTCTACTTGTATGCTGATCTGTAACTAAATAATTCACTTATTATTATTTATACTACTAGTAATAATAAGAAAATACTGTTATCTAAAATAGTATTAAAATATAACTAATGTTAATAAATATAATTTTGAAAAACTGATGATGACATTATTGCATAAGTTTTATTTTGAAAAAAAGGCCTGACTGATTTTGCTTGTCATTTTTTCTACATTTTTAAAAATAAATTCTACTTTGAATCTTTTAAGGTGAAGGGAAAAAATGTATTTATATTATCTATTTGGGAAGCTGTAACTATCAGTTTTGCTCAAGACTTTTCAATCTATAATTCTTTGGCACCAGTCTGAGTAATAAGATAAATTCTATTTCTACTATACACATGTACACACATATACTTGTATATATGAATAAAGGCAAAAGGAAATCTTAGCTGATG